CTCCTCCTCCTCCCTCTCCCTTCCTCCCTTTATCTTGTCCCTCTTCCTCTTCTCTTTCTTCCCTTCTAATCCTCATCCCCCTCTCCCCCTATTCCTCCTTCTCCCTTCCTTTCTCCTCTTCCCCTTCTCTTCACCCTGTTCCCCTCTCCACCCTCTCCTCCTCCATCTCTTTCCCCTCCTCTCTATCTAAGGCATTTCCCCTCGGCCTGTACAGCATACCCCCCCCTCCCCTCTCCCGCGTGGGTCTGACACTTATCTTCTCTCTCTCTCTCCCCCTCCCTTTCTTCTCTTACCCTTCATCCCTTTCTTTCTTTCTTTCTTTCTTTCTTCTCGTTGTGTGTGTGTGTGTGTGTGTGTGTGTGTGTGTGTGTGTGTGTGTGTGTGTGTGTGTGTGTGTGTGTGTGTGTGTGTGTGTGTGTAGTATAAGTATAAGTATAATTATTATAAGTAGTATAAGTGCATGAGTATATGTATGTGTATAAGTAGGGAGCGAGGGGGGAGGGGAGAATGAGGGAGAGCTAGGGAAAGGAGGAATGAGAGGGAGAGGGATGAGGGAGGGTTAGGGAAGGGAGGAATGAGGGAGGGAGGGGGAAGGGAGGAATGAGGGAGGGAGATGGAGGGTTAGAGACGGGAGGGGTGAGAGAGAAAAGGTAAGGGAGGAATGAGAAAAAAGTATAAATGTATGTATGTATGTATATATGTACGTAAACAAATACGTATATGTATACGTGCACATATACATATGTACGTGCGTGAGAATCATTCCCCCCCCCCCCGCCCGCCTGTTCACTGCAACTAGTCATCTGCAACACGAATCATGCAAGTCCACCTCTGTCAGTCGCAAGGGCGTCGCGCGTTCAGCCCCGTTCTACATAAGGGCTTCACACTTCCGACTCCCTGCTGGGTCTCTGAAACGTCTGCTGCTGGAGTTCGATGCATCTGGGTGGCGGGGGGGGGGGGGGGGTTGTTACTCTCTATTTTGCTTGGTCTTCTCTTTTTTTCTTTTTCTTTTTTCTTTTTTTTTCTGCCTCTCCGTCTCTGTCTCTGTCGCTGTCTCTTTTTCTGTCTCTGTCTCTATCTCTCTTTTTTCTGTTTCTGTCTCTGTCTCTGTCTCTGTCTCTGTCTCTGTCTCTGTCTCTGTCTCTATTTCTGTCTCTGTCTCTGTCTCTATTTCTGTTTCTATTTCTGTCTCTGTCTCTCCAGTAATTAATCAAACTTACAATTACTGATCAAATTTCCTTTCTCATTCGTATGCATGTCCACACCCACATACACAGACAAACAGATACGGATACACAGACAGAAAGACAGACAGACACAGACAGACAGATAGGTGGGTAGACACATATGGGAAGAACTAGATAGACAGATAGACAGATAGATAGACCACGCAAACGTCCGACACAATCGACAGACAAACAAACACAGACTTTCGATACATATATACCAAGGCCATCAACACTGCTCAACGCTTCAATGAGATACCCAGCCAGGGCGCGAGTGGGCGTGTGGGCGAGAGGGTTTGTGGGCGAATGGGTTTGTGGGCGAGAGGGTTTGTGGGCGAGAGGGTTTGTGGGCGAGAGGGTTTGTGGGCGAGAGGGTTTGTGGGCGAGGGGGTTTGTGGGCGAGGGGGTTTGTGGGCGTGTGGGCGAATGGGTTTGTGGGCGAATGTGTATGTGGGCGAATGGGTTTGTGGGCGAATGGGTTTGTGGGCGTGTGGGCGAATGTGTATGTGGGCGAATGGGTTTGTGGGCGTGTGGGCGAATGGGTTTGTGGGCGAGTGGGATTGTGGGTGTGTGGACGAGTGGGTTTGTGGGCGAGTGGGTTTGTGGGCGAGTGGGTGAGAGAGTTTGTGAAAGTGTGGGCGAGTGGGTTTGTGGGCGAGAGGGTTTGTGGGCAAATGGGTTTGTGGGCGTTTGGGCGAGTGGGTTTGTGGGCGAATGGATTAGTGAGCGTGTGGGAGAGTGGGCAAGTGGGTTTGTGGGCGTGTGGATCCTTGCCCGAACGAAAGCGGAAACTGCCCACTTTTCGCAACATAACAACGCGGCGTTCTCATTACGCGCGCATGGGGGTGAGGGGGTAGGAAGGGGGGGGAGGTTGTCTGGCAAGGTTAAACTCACTATGGCGATTGCAGGGGGAGGTGGGGGGGGGGGGGGGCAGAAGAGGAGAGGTAGGTAGGGGGGGCGTAGAAGGGGAGGGAGAGGTTAGGGGCATTTCGAAAAGAAAACGAAGGATAAAATAGAAAACAAAGCAACGAAAAGAAACCGAAGGATAAAGAGAAAACAAGCATAAAAGAGAAAATTTACAAAGCTTAAACAAAGAGAGAAAACGAAGCAAAAAAAAACAAAATAAAAAGAAAACGAAATGAACGAAAAGAAAACGAAGCAGAAAAAAAAAATACGAAACCCAAAAAAACGTGAAGGAACAGCAACCGCCATAATAAGGATCTAATGTTGCATAATTGATAAAAGATTGCACGAAGAATTCTGCTTCGGATTGCGCGGTTAATTGAGGTGCAATGAAGGGGGGAAATGGGAGAGGGGGGGGCGGGGGCGGGGGAAATGAGGGAAGGGGGGGACGGGGGGGGAAAGGGGAAAGGGGGACGGGGACGGGGGGGAAGGGGGAAGGGGAGGCCATAAAATAGAGGGGGGGGGGGGGTGGAAAGAGGAGGCTACGCTTGTGGGTATAAGGTGGGTACGGAATGGATATAAGGTGGGCACGGGTGGGCACGGGTGGGCACGGGTGGGCACGGGTGGGCACGGGGTGGAATGGGGAGTGTATAGGGGTGAAAGTGAGGAAAAAAGTGGGGAAGGAAAAGTATTAGTGAAACTGGGGGGAAGCGAGGTCGATGGGGGGGGGGGGGGGGTTGTCAAATGGGAGGGAGGGGGAGACAATTGGCGCGTAATGAGAATGAATGGTTGTAAAAGAGGGAGTGGGGGGGGAGGGAGGAGGATGGACGTTGGGGAGGGGAGGGAGAGGGAAGGGAGGAATGAGGGAGGGAGAGGGAAGGGAGGAATGAGGGAGGGAGAGGGAAGGGAGGAATGAGGGAGGGAGAGGATAGGGAGGTATGAGGAAGGGAGAGAGAAGAGAGGAATGAAGGAGGGAGGAGGATGGAAGGGATGAGGGAGGGAGAGGAAAGAGAGGAATGAGGGAGAGAGAGAGGAAAGGGAGGTATGAGGAAGAGAGAGA